TTTACAGTCACGTTTTTATACCCTCCACCTTGGAAAGGAGTCACGATACAGCCCACATTACTTGACGTAGAGGGCCAAAATTTAGCAGAGCAAATTGTATTGTGTCTAGGATGGTTGGTATTGAAAATGAGATATATCGGTCCACGTTCTGGTATAGTCCCCATATAACAGTACCTCCCGATATTCGGTATTTTGATGATTTATGTCACATTTTTTCACGGATTTGTCTAAAAATTGGTATTTATTGGTCATAATGGGTTCCAGCTCCGGTGGCGAAACATTGCATGTATGGTTCCATGATTTGGTATAGCCCCCATATAACGGTACCTCCTAATATTCGGTATTTTGATGATTTTTAACACACTTTTTCACGAATTTGTCTGAAAATTGGTAGTTGTAGATCATAATGGGTCGCATTTCGTGTGGCGAGTCATTGTAATTATAGGTCCACGTTTTGGTATAGCCCCCATATAACGGTACCTCCCGATATTCAGTATTTTTATGATTTTTGCCACATTTTTTCAGGGATTTGTCTGAAAATTGCTATTTGTTAGAATTGCTTAGAATAACTAATTTTCCTTTTTTTTTTGTATCCATAAACTCTAAGAATGCCCAATAAACTAGTCAGAACTTCATTCAAGCTAACAAGTTTAGATCAAAATGAAATTTTGACAAACATATGCAATTTCACTTATCTAAATTTAAGCAATTTCTCCACAACATTTTGTCTGTCTAGCAATACTAGTCTGACTTCTAACCACCAACCAGTTTAATTTTCTTATCACACTTGTGTATCAATGTTTTCTCAAAACGATGCATTAAACTATCAAATAAAATATGCCACATGAATGATTGGCTGGTTTGTTCATCTTTTTAAGCATGTTTGGCCAACAAGACAAGGAGATTCTTTAGAAAAGACCAGTTTTCTTCTTTTTTTCTAAAAATTCTCATAGCTGAAATTCATTTGAAGATTCTCACAATTGCCCAATTTATCATAGTCATAGAGTGGAAACACAAAATTGCAGCTTGAAACAAGTTCTAGAAATATTTTTCAAAATTTGGTAAAATTAAAGAAACAATTTGCAGAAAATAGACAAAACTACTAATACTGCCCGAGTTTATAAAGGAAAGTGTGATAATGGAATGAAAGATAATTACTGCCTTCCATTTGAGAAAAATAAGCTTTGGTTATGAAGGTATTCAATTTTTCCCAAATTTCCCGATATGTCTTTTTTTCAAATTTTGTCAAAGGGAACCATAGTTACTTTTGAGGATCTTCATAGATTCACGTTCTGAGTCGATTTATGCATTTAAGTCAGTTCGTCCTTCTGTCCATATACTTTTGTAAACAAAATGCAGGTAGCATTTAATATCCGATTGAGAGGAAATTTTACAAACAATATTTGTTTGGCCCGAGGAGGAATCCTATCAAAATTGGTGCGAATCGGTTCAAATTTGGGTATAGCTCCCATATATTTCTTCAACCGATTTCTGGTTAATTGTGCATCTAAAGTTCAATATCAGTCCGAATAACCAGCATTTTGGAACATCCTACCGAATTCAGTCTAGAAGCATGTACATAAATTTGGTTAAAATCGGTTCAGATATAGCTATAACTCTCATATACATGCTTCATCCCATTTAGCTCCAATATACAGGGTGAGATAAAAAAATTGCAAAAAGTCAAACGCCATAATTTTTAATTTTTGTTTTTTTTTATTTCATTGAATTAAATCAAAAAATGTCGGAAATAGCATCAAATTTTAGAAAAAGTATAGGTCTGTTCGAATTGGTCGCCTTTGACACTAATTATGGCCTTCATACGGCCAATGAAACCGTCACACGCTACCCGAATGTTGCTTTGCGGTATTTTGGCCCATTCCCGGCGAAGCGCTTGCTTGAGGTGATCGACACTTTGGTATTTTATGGTGCCAACCTTGCTTTCCAAAATACTCCAGACACAATAGTCCAATGGATTGGTATCCGGAGATTTTGGTGGCCATTGTGAGCTGGAAAGGAAGCGAGGAACCTAATTTTGTAACCATTCTTGGGTGACGCGTGCTGAGTGCGGTGGTGCTGAGACCTGTTGGAATGTCCAAGGTCTGCGGCCAAAATGTTTGCGTGCCCAAGGCTTCAATACACCCTCCAGAATATTTTCGCGATAATATTCGGAATTTATTCTGGTCGATTAATACGAGCGCATAGCGACCATCGGCTGTTATGGCGGCCCACACCATCACCATGGCCGGCGCTTGAGTTCTGGTGGCCAGCCGAAGTTGCACAATTTTAGCTGATCTCTTTGTTTGTTTACAAACTTCTGGACAACGAATGTTTTCTCATCGGAGAAAACTAAATTCGGCACTTCACCACTTTCCGCCAAGCGAAGCAACTCTTTAGCTCGTTTGGGTCTATTTTCTTTCTGTTGCGGATAAATTCTTGCACTTTTTGGAATTTCAAAGGCTTTACACGGAGCTCATTTTTTAATATTTGCCAAATGGAATATTGCGATGTGTTCAGTTCACGATCCATTTTTCGGCCACTGCGACGCGGGTTTCAATCAAGTCGCTTTTTTACTTTTCGAACTATTTCTGCTGATGTTGCTGTTTTCTTCCATCCACTTCCTTGACGTCGGGCAACGCTACCAGTATCACGGTAACGAGCGATACTACGAGACACAAACGATTTACTCACATTTAATAGCTGGAGTGCTCTACCGATAGCCACTTTTGGTTTTCCAGCCAAATATAAAGAAATCACACTATCTCCCTTGAATTTCACCACGAATAAATTATTTTTCTGGAAAATTGCAACAGCAGTTTGATGTTAGTTGCAGTTTTTTCATCTCACCCTGCAGCTCACATATATATCATTTTCCGACTCCAGGTTTCTTGTGCACAAAATGGCTAATATCAGCCCAAATGGACTGAATTTTGGAACTTCCGACGGAATTCATCCCAAGAGCAAGCGCTTCAGATTTTGTTGAAAATTGATTCAGATATAGCTATAGCTCCTATATATATGTATCATCCGATTTGGTGTTAAAGTCCCTCACATGCGTAATATGCACCCCTCAACAATGATATTTGATACCGGGCATCACATACTGTTCGAAAATACCTCTGCCAAATTTTATCGAGATCGATTCAGGTTTGTATATACCTTCATCCAATTTTATGGTTATTACTCACCATATATGTGATATCAGCCCAAATTGAATAGATTTTTATACCCTCCACCATACTTTATCATTTCGTTTGTAACTCCTCGAAATACTCATATCAGACCCAACAAAGTATATATATTCTTGATCAGCGTAAAATTCTAAGTCGATTTAGCGATGTCCGTCTATCTGTCTGTCTGTCTGTCCGTCTATCTGTTGTAATCACGCTATCTTTCGAATGAAATGAGATACAAGGCTAAAATTGTGCACATATGATTATTTTTCCAGTAGGCGGGTTAAGTTCGTAAATGGGCCATGTAGGTCGACGTTTTCATAAAGCCCCCATATAACGGTACCTCCCGATATTCGGTATTTTGATGATTTTAGCGACATTATTCACCGGAATAGTTTCAAATTTAGTATTTGAAGTTCGCAATGGATACTACTGCCTAAGACAGAAAATTGTCTGTTCAGGTCCACGTCTTCGTATAGCCCCCATATAACGGTACCTCCCTATATTCGGTATTTTGGTGATTTTAGCGTCTTTATTCACCGTAGTAGTTTCAAATTACGCATTTAGAGTTCGTAATGGAAACTCCAGTCTGTGACAGAAAATTGTCTATGCAGGTCCAGGTCTTCGTATAGGCCCCATATACCAGTACCTCCCTATATTCGGTATTTTGACGAGTTTAGGTACAATACTCACCGAAATTGTTTGAAATGTCGTAGTTGAAGTTCATAATGGATGCTACAGAATATGACAAAAAATTGTCTACGCAGGTTCAGGTCTTCGCACAGCTCCGATATAACGGTACCTTCCGATATTCGGTATTTTTATGATTTTAGCGACATTATTAACCGGAATTGTTTAAAATTTGGTATTTGAAGTTCGCAATGGATACTACAGTCAAAGACAGAAAATTGTCTATGCAGGTCCAGGTTTTCGTATAGGCCCCAAATACCAGTATCTCCCTATATTCGGTATGTTGACGAGTTTAGGTACAATACCCACCAAAATTGTTTGAGATGTCGTATTTGAAATTCGTAATGGATGTTACAGCCTATGACAGAAAATTGGCTATGCTGGTCCAGGTCTTTGCACAGCTCCGATATAACGGTACCTCCCTATATACGATATTTTGATGATTTTAGCTACATTATTCACTGAATTTGAATTGCCCTGGTATATCTATTTCTCCAATAAATAATTTTAAAATATAATCAAATCATGCACTATACAGCTTTGTTATTTTATCTACTTCACTGAAATTCCCAATATAAACTTTTTTGTTACGGGAACTTTACTTCATACGCATAGTGGGTATCATATAGTTGGCCTGCCCAAAATTTGACCTTTGCTTATTGGTTTCACTAATATTTGATATATAAGTAAATAAAAACACTCCAAAAATTTATAAATCTAGGCTATGAGGTCACAATTTGGTTGTGGCCTTATAGGAATAATATTTTGAACCCGGCATCATTATGTTGGCTTCCACATAAAACCAGTCAGTCAATCAAACTCTGGCATTATAATATTTATGGATAACCACAAAATCTAATATTTGTAACTATACATATACATCTACATGTATGTTTGTATGTGTGCATGCAACTTTTTATTGAGTGTGGCAAATTTACACAATTTTCCTCTTTTGCATATTTTTAACAATTTATTCCGCCCTCCTCCATGGTTAATGGAGCCAGGCAATGATATTTAAGACCAGTTTGAGTTTTTCTTTTTTTTTTCCAGTGATCTTCAATTGTTTACACGATTTTTTTCATCGTTTATTTATTTTTTTTTCTTCTCTCTCCCTCTCTCTCTCCATTTACTAACCAGGTGATAACGGTCGCATCGAATATACGATTACATCGGGCGATGATAATAATGATTTTGAAATATTTTCAAACGGTACCATACGTACCAAACGCATGTTGGATCGCGAAACAAAAAGTTCGTACAATTTAATTGTAACCGCAAGAGATTGTGCCAAAGAATTTCCTATGATGTACGACGACTACCACGATGATGATGATGATGGCTACGATGGTGATCACTACCAGGATGATGACTATGATGGAGCACCAGCATCTCATCAGTACCGGCTGAGAAGTCAGCAACAACAACAACAGCAAAAACAACAACGGTATCCATCAATGCCATACAATTTACCACGTCAGCGTCGCCAGTATTTGCAATACCAACAACAACAGCAGCAGTTGCTACAAAACCAGCAGCAAATTGCCGGTCTAAGCCCAGAGCCTCAACAACGTTTATCATCGACTGTCCAGGTAAGTATTTAGTTTAACGTTTAGGCCTGTCTGGATTTAATGGCCATGAGTAGGGGAGGGGCAGGGGATAAGTGGCATTAGAGTGAAAACTATGTTCTGTATTTTTTCTTCTTCTGTTCTAACACTAAATCAGGCCTAACATTTAGGTTAAATATAACAGTGGTCGAGTACACCAAGCCACATTGGAATTTTTGTACAAATAATTGAAATAAGGAGGCAAGAATTTGATTTCATAGAGGTCAATGTGGAATTTCTGCGGGATGGGAGCACTAGGGAATGATTGATATTTAAGGAATCTAATTCTCTAAAAACCAGAGATTTTAAAAAATTAAGGGCAAATTCAAAGAAAGTAGAAGGATCAAAACTTATTATTAAAAATGTAGGACTAAAATGCAAAGGTGTAATTTTTTCTAAACGTTTTGAAGGAATATTCGGTTTTGAGGAGCTAAGGAAAAAGCATTATGATAAATGTAAGTAGGTTTGATATAAATACAACAGCAACAAAAATGGCGCCTAATTTTACCACATGTTTATATCCTTCAACACTATGTTTTGGGAGTGCTATGTACAGGTCGCAATTTTCATCCGATTCTTAGGAAATTTGCATAAATAAGGGTTGGGTTAGAGTAAGGTAAGATTGCATGTTTTTATATTTATGATGTTCGCAAAATATTAAGGGGTTGAAATGGACCAAAATCCGAAAATGTTCCTGATTTTGCAGCCGCTCTTCAGGTCACAAGACCAATCGGCACGAAATTTCGTATGTAATTAGAGTTCGGAACAGGTCGGAAGACTAGGATTTTAAATGGCCATCGGAAAATATTTAGCGGGGAAAATGGACCACAACTTTTGCGTATATTTTTTAATACCTATAAGCACGAAAGAGGCGCAAATATAAGACCAATACCACCGGCCAAAAAGTAAAGTTAAAATTTTTTCAGGACTGGATGGCATTGTTTCAAAAACGAAATCGAAATGGGCTTGAACTTGCAAAACTGCACCCAACTTCAGACTGCTATCATTTCAAAGCCACTCGTCCGACAGCTGTTAAAATTTTTCCAGTGACAGCTAATTATATTGTTTACAAGCGCAGAAAAGCATTTTGGTGAGAATTTTCCAGAAAAAAAGTTTTTAGTGAAAGAGTCCAAGCGTGATAGTGTGAATTCTTTATATTGTGCTGGAACACCACAAGTGCCTATCGTTAGAGCACTCCAGCATTTAAATGTGAATAAATTTTTTGTGTCTCGTACCATCGCCCGTTACCGTGATACTGGTAGCGTTGCCCGACGTCAAGAAAGTGGACGGAAGGAAATTACAACATCAGCAAAAACGGTTCGAAATGTAAAGAAGAAGGCTTGATCAAAAACCGCATCGCAGTGGCCGAAAAATGGTTCGTGACCTGAACATATTGCAATATTCCATTCGGCAAATATCGAAAAATGAGCTAGGGGTAAAGCCATTGAAATTCCAAAAAGGGCAAGAACTTACACCGTAATGGAAAGAAAATAGACTCATAAGAGCTAAAAAGTTGCTTCGCTTGGCCGAAAGTGGTAAACTGCCGAATTTGGTTTTCTTCGATGAAAAAACATTCGTTGTCCAGCAGTTTGTAAACAAACCAAATGATCGTGTTTACTTGCCAAAGAGGTCAGCTGAAAATGTGCACCTTTGGTTGGCTACAAGGACTCAAGCGCCAACCAAGGTGATAGTGGCGCTCGTATTTATAAACAGAATAAATGCCGAATATTATCGCGAAAGCGATGCCTTGGACATGCAAACATTTTGGTCGCATACCTTGGACATTCCAACAGGACTCAGCACCATCGCACTCAGCACGCGCCACTCAAGAATGGTTACAAAATGAGGTTCCTAGCTTTATTTCCAGGGAACAAAGGCTACCAAAATCTCCGGAAACCAATCCGTTGGACTATTGTGTGTGGAGTATTTTGGAAAGCAAGGTTGGCACTACAAAAATACTAAAATGTCGATCACCTCAAGCAAGCGCTTCGCCGGAAATGGGCCAAAATACCGCAGAACAACATTCGGGCAGCGTGTGACGGTTTTATTGGCCGTTTGAAGGCCATAATTCGTACCGGCATTTTTTGCTTTCCTTCAATAAAATTAAAAAAAAAAAATCTTAAAATTATGGCCTTTGATTTTTTCCCTTTTTATCTCACCCTGGTTGGCCCTAAAATAAAATTAAAAAAAAATCTAAAAATTATAGCCTTTGATTTTTTCCCTTTTTTATCTCACCCTGTCTAAGCATAGTGGTGTAGGGTATCATATAGTCGGCCCCGCCCTAATTTTGCCTTTTTCATACGGGCTAGAAATATATTCTTTATAATTTTTTTTAAGGAAGGGGAAGTTCTCAAGTACTCAACACTCTGTAGCGTCATAAACGACCACATGTCTATTTAGATGCAATCCATTTCAGGAAATTTGGAGTTAATCCAGGTGCTCACAATATCTCTGGATCAGAATTGATGTTTAATATTTTTAAAAAATCTTTTAAGATGAAGTTTGAAGATATCCTTGACAATTTTAAGATATCGTTTTAAGATATCCTGGACAAATTCGTGGGGGTCTCCAAAGACTTTTTGGAAACAATTATTGATTTTCTGAGAATATTTGTTCAAGGACTCCCCTCAAAAACTGTGTCTAAACATCGTAATTTTTATAATGTCAAGAATATGATGTTACAAGAATCGTGAATATGATGTTATTTAAGGAGTTCCGGGCCAAAATAAAATTCTTGAATTCTTATACTCTCTACCATAACATGGAGATAAATTCAAATTCTCATTCCATTTGCAAAATCTCAAATATTTCCGCGTGTTAAAATCACTAGAGCTCTCATTACTTAAAATAGAATTAAGGTTTATATTGGTTCTCAAATGTTTAGCATAAAAAGGCATTATATCGGTATACATTTAGGTATAGCCTCCTTTACTTCTGGTATTTTTGGATTTCTTTGCCTATTTTTATTCAAATCGAGAATAATATAATTTTTTTGAGTTCTCTTTTGTCATATTTATGTTTCGCAAAAACTTTTCAATGTAGATCCACTTTTTGGTATAAAAATAAAAAATACCCTAATGATACCCTGAAATTGTTACTATGGTTTTTAAAGGTTTCGTCTCCAATTTCCACACATTTCCAAACGTCACAAAATTTCACCTCAACAGAAAAAGATTCATTTATTCCACCTCAACAGAAAAAGATTCATTTATTGACTGATCTCATGCAGGTCATGCAGGACAAGGTGAAAATATAAAAATTCTAAACGACAAGACTCGATTTTTTTACTTTTGGTACTCGCCAATTTCTTTCCTACTCAACACATAGTGCAATGCATAATGCCATTAAAATAGAAGGATTTTCACATTAATGCAACGAAAGCAAAACCCTTTCCCAAGAGTATTTGAGAGTACTCTCAAATGGATAATTGTTGTTTTGAACTCACAATGCTCTACTGCCAACCTCATAATATCCTTCCCAGTTAGATTCATCTAAACCTCTGTGGGAATTAATTCATTCGATTATATTTCATAAATTTAAACCTTCAACATTTTTCCTCCAACTGAATTCAGATTTACTTGAAAAGATATTTTCTTTCCGCTGGGATTAATAATAATGTTGTTACTTTAGTTATCCCCAGCATCAGGGCTGCAGGTGAAATGATACCTCCCCCCCCAACAAAAAAAATGTATTACAGCTACCACATGTGCATTTGTATTCCACCTGATATTCTCCACACGAATGTGGAGTATTTAAAACCCAAAATCCCCGTTATAGCCAAAAAAAAACCGGGCAAATGAATGCCGAAACGCAAACCGAAAATGGAATAATTAGATTGTTACAATGTTGCAGCAAGTGGGCAAGTGAAACAATAACCGCAAAAATTGAAACGCACCCTGAGCCACATGCATACATACGATTGGTATGTGAAGTTAAGCCCATTGTCGAGGTCCTCTGAAGGAGGAAGAGCAATGACTTTAATTAAATGATAAACGGACAAACTCGAAAACATCGAAGAAGAAGAAGCTGAAGAAAAAATAATTCATGCAAGAATATTCCGAAAACAACAGCATGTAGCAAGCATGCCGCCACCGCCGCCGCATGCTTTATGATGCTGCATCACTTGTGTGACTGACCGCCTGCCTGACTGGACCCAGTGGAGAAATGAAATGCATGCATTTGTTGTGCCACAGTTCAAACTAAGAAGTTCTAAAACAAAAACCCAACCTCCAAACCCAAATTCATGCAACGACAACAACAATAAATATACGTCCATACATGCATTCAAACATACATATGTACGAAAAGAGAAAGGTTTGGACAAAGTTGTTGTTTGTGTCTTTGCAACATAATAAACAGCTTGTAATTCTTTTTGATGTTGATTTCTATATAAAGGCCAACATACAACCAAACACATGCACCCATGCTCATGTGTGTGACAGGGAGAAAAAGGGCCTCAACTTATTGGACTTTAAATGAAATCATTGCTCTACAAATGTTCTGATCTTCTGATGATGTTGATCTCAATGTAAAGTGGCGTTGTTATTGTCGTTGTTGAATTTATATGCTTCACCATAGTATGGAGGGCATATCTATCTGGTCATTCCGTTTGCAACAGTTTGATGTAGTCATATTAGATACCAGAATGAGTGTGGATCTCTGACCAGCCTGAAATTTTATGTCGACTATGTAGTAATTTGTGTATGTAGGTCACCTTTTGCATGGTCCCCATGTAAGGCAAGTACTTCCGATCTTCCCTGTTTTGATTATGTTAGCATTATTTTTGATAGAATCGTTTGAAGCGTGTTCTTATGGCCCCTATATAATATTAAATCCCGATATTCGATATTTTAATTGTCTGTAGGTTTCATTTTTTTTTTTTTAAATTTTATTTTTAGTTTTTTTTTGATATATATTTAAATTATGGAAAATATTTTACTCTCCTGGAAAATTTTATGTTAGGCTCAAAAGCTAGGTACGAGATG